TAAACCCCTTAACGTTCGAAGCTTAGTTCATGCTAAAACTTATTATTCAGTAACTACAGGGACTTTAATGCACACTAATGGAGTTTTTCTCAGGTTATATATGTGTGTAATAAAACTTTGGCTTGGTAAGGGGTTTCCCAGTCTCCTTCAGCACTGTACAAAAGAGTTAGGAAAACTGCTTTAAACTGTTTATTTTGGCAGTCAATGTGTTTTGCCTGTACAACACTTTATTACACTGGAATATATACAAATAAACATAAAAACAGTAGGTAGTAAGTAGCAAGAATTGTTTTCATAACTGTTACTTACTTCTTGCTGCATTTTCACCTGAAAAGATCAGATCGTCCATTTCACTTCAACCACGCAACCAAAATTTGCAGTTATTTTAAGAAACATAACGTTAAAAACCATACGTTTGCAGGGATGTGGAAAAAGGGGAAAAGTGGACTGTGATTTGGAGCTGCAGTCCATCGCGTTTTCACTGAAAATACACTTGTGTCTTTCCCACAGGGGTCACTGTTTGGTCTGGAGTCTCTTTAGTTTTGAGGATTTTAACGCCTTCTTTGAAATAAACTCCCCTCAGTGGGCTTTTGGATTAGCGTCACCACAATCAACAATAATAATAAACCTTACTTGGAATCTGCTTCTTTGTCAGTAGTTTATCAGTTTGAACTACTCAGGTCGCTGATGCTCGGCCAGATATCAAAAGCAGATCTTCGCTATTATTTTAAGGCTCGTCTGTCGTTTTTATCAGGAACGATATGAGAGCAATGAGAGTCTGTAAAGAGTCTGACGTTAAAACAAGCCGATTATCCTGACAGTATCTGACCCTGACATGCTGCTAAAAGAAGTAGAAAGCCAGCTGTATTTATGATTTGCCTCGTTTAATCATAAAATGCGTCCCTCCAGCAGTGAACTGAACAGGGTTTGGTCGGAAGCAGACCGAGACCTGAGGCTATTGCCAGGCCGGTTCAGCTGTTTGATGCAGACCCGAATACGGGTGGAGTTTTCACACACGTCCAAATGGAGCGAACTAAAAAGAAAGTTTGATAGGTCCTCACTGAACAAAGTATATTTATTGCTGTAAGAAACTCGTTTGTCAGTCAAAGAGCATCTAAAACTGGGTCCAATAGTAGGGGTACTGCCATCCTAGTAAATAAAAATATCCCCTTTATTATTGAAAAAGAACAGTACGACCCAGAAAATAGATATATTTTGGTCTCAGGCTTAAAACATAAATGTAAATGCTTAAACATAAATGCTCCAAATGAAGATTGTCCCAAATGTATGTCTCGAATGGCTCTGCTATTCAGTCAGCATTGTAAAGGTCTCTGGCTTTTAGCAGGTGATTTTAACTGCATACTGAATGCTAGTCTGGATAAGTCTACTTCAGCACCTGTGGCCAATCCAAAATCTTCCCACACTCTCGAGTTCTTGTGTCAGGATTCGGGTTTAGTGGATGGATGGCGGGAATTTCACTCCACAGATAAGAACTACACATTTTACTCTAATCCACATAATTCATATTCCAGATTAGACTCTTTATATAGTGTCTTTATATACTGTCTGTCTCATCTACACGTATCTGCATTTTCTGTTTAATGGCTTCAGCCTCTGTTTCTGCGTCATCACTTTAAAGTCACAATAAAAAGAAATTCGTTAAACATTTGATTTAACATTACAGATTATTTCTTATTTCTGTAGTCATGAGCATTAATGAGGTAAGTAATGAAGGAGTGAATGAATCTACAGGCTGTGAAGAGAGAACAGGCCTTTCTTTGCTACTGTGGTTTAAGTGATACTGGTGAACTGCAGGACAGATGGATTTCTTTTTTCACATCTAGAAAAGTCCTGTTTAGCTCAGAGAGGAAGAAAACAGTCTGGAACATGAATTTAGCTGACGCGAAAAAAAATCAGGGGTGACCTTTTGGTTGGGTATATTTTAAATATCCTTGGATTAAATACTTGATAGATATTAAACTCTGTTGATGTTGCTATAGTGATCTACGCTTGGATGTTACCATAGTGACAGTCCCTGTGCACTGGCAATACTCACCATGAAAAAACAAGCTTTTTCTTGAAGGGGGATTCCACCAATTTTGGTTTGATATGAAATGATCTATTGTAGAGAAACGTACAGACAGATTTCTTTACAGTGGTGGTGACAGGAACCAGGGGTCACAATGTCCAACACAAATATAGCCATTTTATTTACTATTCAAAACCACCAGTGGACCTACACGTCTTCTGAGTTTGTATATGTAATGTTGATTATGGTAAAGTTGTGGTAGATCTGAACAAAATCTGTTTCCTTTGGGGACTATTTTGCCTCACGTGCCCTGCATGTACCAAGAATGGATGTTAAAAATCACGTTGTAGAACATTATCTCAAAAGTAACATAATGTCTCAGGCAACAATGTATTCATAACCATTTCATGTAATGACTTTCTGTGGCGGAGCTTTTAGAGGAATTAAACTCTTCAGACGTCTGGTTCCACCACTGTGAACAATTCTGACTCAACAAATTATTTTTTTTTATTTTTTTTTGCCCGCCACCGCCCCCCCCTCTTCGGAGGACCAGTTTTTTCTTTATTACTGTTATTACAAATTTCTTTTAGTATATGCTGTCATCGTGTAGAGGGAGGGCAACAAACTGCAAACATACAAGCAAACAAAAATTGCAAGGGGGAATAAAGGAGAAAAAAAAGGCTAGAAATTGGGAGAAAAAAACAAACATATAGAACATGTAAAACAGAGGAAACAAACAAAAAAAAGAAAACAGTAATTATAATATTTGTACCCTCAGACAATGAATTGAGCTATAGCTATTTATAATACCTGCCATATATATTTATTTGTGTATGTGTTAATGTGCGTTAATATGTGACCAGGAACATTCGGGTAGAGGCACCACAGGTAGGTATACAAGCCGATAGAAGTTAAGGTGGTTGTAGAATGCTATCAAGTGTTTACCATGTTTTTTCGTATTCATGAGATTTGTTTTTGATAGATGCTGAGATTTTTTCCATAGCTATGTGTTCTATTAGAAAGTTTTTCCATTGATAGTAATCTTTTTCCTTGTTTTCCAGTTGGTCAGAATAGTCTTTTTAGCGATGGTTAGCGCTACCAAAAGTGTTCTGTTTTCTTCCTTGTTTAGATGGACTGATGATGTGTCACCTAACAGACAGAGTGATGGGGATGGGGAGATGGGTTGTTTTAACAATGGAGTTAGTTGATTTATAACAAGTTGCCAGAAGTACTTGACTGGTGTGCAATACCACAAGGCATGTACACAATTATCAGGAGTGTTTAGTGAACAGTGTATACAGATTTCAGAGTCTATTAATCCCATTTTATAGAGCCTTTGCCCAGTGTAGTGTACTGTGAATTACCTTATATTGTATGAGGTGGAGGTTAGTATTGTTAGTCATGCTAAATGTGTTTCCCAGATACTTTTCCAGAAGTCTTTAACTCAGCAAGACTTCACATCAAACCGCTCTGAATGATTTTGTTTACATCTTAACCACTAAGTGATGCATACATTGTGAAAACTGGTGAAAATCCACTTTAACAGCTCCTAAAATTTAAATCCAGTTCCAATTTTCTGCTTAATTCAATTGTTGAAAGTCACTGAGTGGTTTGATGTGAAACGTGCCGTTCTTAACTTGCAGAGTCAGATTCATGTAAACTTTCCTAAAAAAAACTTATGAAGGATCTTAAGACAAACACTAAGAAGTTCATAAGAATAAGAAACTTGTAAGTTCTAAAATATTCTCTTAAAGGAGTTTTTTTAAGTAAATTCAAAAATGTTGTCATATGTATTTTCCTACATACTAAGACTAAGACATGCGAGATTGTCATAAGATTAAGAAAATCTTTATCAGCATATTTGTTTAAGAAAACCACTTGTTCTTATAATTATTCTGAAGAGAAACATTAAGAAAGAAATGAGAAAAAATCTTAAGAAGATTTTTGAAGGACACTTTTGTGAAACTCCTCAGAATTGTTCACAGTGGTGATCAGACGTCTGAAGAGTTTAATGCCTCTAATTGCTCCTTCACCGAATGTTATAACATGAAATAGTTATGAATACTCAGCCTGGTGCATGAAACATTGTTTTACAATAGTTTTATGATGTGATTCTGGCATAAAACATTGTTTTTATGGTGTAGAGGTACATGCACTGCATTGTAAGGCAAATAGTCTCCCAAGAAAACCTACTCAGATTTACCACTATTTTATTAGTATTAGCATTTAGCATTAAAAATGAAACTCAGAAGACACATATTAGTCACTGGTGGCTTTAGATAGTAAATAAAATCACTGTATTTGTGTTGTACACACTGTGGTTCTCATCACCACCACTGTAAAGATACCTAAGTCACCAAGTTTCTCTATGATGAAGAATGTCACATCAAACAGCTGTTTGTTTTTATTTCAACAACTGAATTATGTGGATTTTTTTAATGGTAGGATTCACCTCTAAAAAAGTTTTGTTTTTACAAAAGCTATTGTCTGTGGAACATTACACCTTATATTTCAGCTGTCAGTGGCCTTATTTTTATTTCTCTGCTTCTGTGTAAGTGTGATATAAATATCATAAGCATAGGTTTAATTTCATACTTATTACATTGTTCTTGTCTCCTCTTTCATACAATCACAATCTCTCACCTCATAAATATTTCATACGGAACAAAAAGAGCAGCAAATACAAAATTAACGTTGACAGTTGCGTTGATCTCGCGAGAATCTCGCGTCAGAGCCAGCAATCCGCCCTCTCCCGGACTGTACCATCAGAGCTCCTGCGGGGGTAGAAGCGGCTACATAGTGTATCCCGTGAACATCCCCAGCAACGCTAAGATTATATTAATATGCATTGTTCATATTTATTTACAAGTTTTTTTCCTCGTAGTAGATCTCTTATGACCCATAATGCATTTCATAGTGGTTGTGATTAGCGTTAGTACAAAAAGAAGCTCCCCACGGAGCCGAGAGTTCAGTAATCCAGCGCCAAATCTGAAGTATGTCTGCCCAAACAGACCCGAATCAAATACGTTCCCGGTTTAAAGTTGTAGAAGTTGCAAAAGGTCAGTAAGCTATAATACCTAGAAATGTCCGCTAGGAACTTTATATTTTTATTCCTTATGTATTGTTTACGAGGTAACGTTAACTGTGCTCGGCTTCTTGTTTGCCAGCTTCTTGTTCGAATGTTCCCGTTCCACCGACGTTTTACATGTCACTGCTGCACCATTTAAGGTGGAACGGGAAAATAAAAGCATAAAAGCTGATTTCAGCTCCGTATTAACGTCTTCATTCAGAGAGGTTTGGTCACTCTATGACACAAAAGTGGCTTCCTGCTGTGTAGTAAGGCCAGTAGTAGATGTCTACATTACTTATTTCCATGTTACAGTAACTGTTAATACTAAATGTTAATGTTGCTTTGTGTGTTTTAAACACAGCCAAAGTGCGTGTGTGTCTACGAGGTAACTATAAAGCTGAGATACGAGAAATGCGGTCTAATGCAATTTCCAAGTTTAATAATCAGACCGTCCTTCAAAACTCTCAGAGAAAAGGTACTAAACTGTTATTTAGTACTTAGATGGGGAACATAATTGTGCCATAATCCGTCCGTTCGTTTTTTTTTAAGTTGTATTGACTCCACACACGGTCTTGTTTGTGGCCTTTTTTGTTTTAATGTTCTGTTTTAAAACATGAGGTTATGAAAAGGTACAGATACGTTTCCCCTGGGGAAAAAACTGGCGTAGTTATATGTAACACATATACAACAACTCTAGAAATTGTACTAATTTATTATAACATTCTAACCAAAACGGCCCTTATGGAAAAAAAAAAAAACTTTAATAGTACTACAGGAATTTTTACAGGGGTCCTGTAGTGTTGCCATAGATCTTTGTTATGAATACAGCTTTTGTCAGTTTGTGTCGAATAATTTTACTGCCAGCATTTAGGTCTGTACAGGTTTGTGGAGCACAGGAACCAATCCGCTAGTAAATTGAAACCGCACTGTTTTCTCTGATGGGAACAAAGCTAAGGGGTCTGGGGATCCACTGTAGCAGAGATCTTCATATCTGGACATTGAATCCAGTTTCCAGCCCTGAATTTTCTAATCACTGTTAATTAAATGAACTGTTGATGTATGGAATTAATTACCGCAAAATCTCAGCCGCAAAATACAGGACCACAATCTTCATTTAAGGTCCGAATTTGAAGACCGGCACACTGTAGGGATTTTATTTTTGTGAGAAGCTGATTTATTGCATGTAACAGTGAATACTTTAGAAACTCAAGACATTAAGACAGTAGTTGTTTCAGTAGTAGTATCAACACGTACCTCCCATTTAGCATCACCAGTACATTTCTTACTCTTCAGCATCTAAATGTGCTTGCATTTCCATTTTGAACTGAACAGAGAGACAGTTTACAAGAAAAATTGTCTAGCCAGTCATCAGAGTCCGCTTCTCTTGCAGGTAAAAGATGTTGCTAAGCCCAGAGCAGGTGGCCCTCATAGGCCTTGTGTTTGAGACCTATGTGGCTGAGCACCATAAGAGTGACATCCTGCAGATCCTCCAGGATCCTGATGGAGATGCTCATTATCCATTGGTGGTAAACGCAATGTCCTTGTTTGAAGCTAACATGGAAGTGGCTGAGTACTTCAACGCCTTCCCCAGCGAGGTGCTGTCTGTTTTTGACAGTGCTCTTCACACAGCCGCCTTGTCCATTTCTCAGTCAGAGACGCTTCACAGAGACTTGAGACCCAAACGCAACCTGCATGTCCGCATTTCAGGTAAGATTCCATTATATGCACACAGAAGTACTGATTTGTCACCTAGAGCTGTCACAATGTAGCTTGATTTCACAGTATCATTGGTTAAAGTTCACCTTTATGATGAATCTGCAATGATTAGTTTTGCGTGATGACAATTAAAACTACCTTTCCAAGGCAAACAAGTAAAATAAGTACTAAAGCAGCAAAAATAGTGACTTATAGAACTACAGAGGAACTTTTTTGTACATCCAGTGTCTATCAGCATAGAAAGTGAAGTTTCTTAGGTGCTATTCTTCCCTTTTTGATGCACTCTTAGTTTAAAAGGAATGGTAAAATCTTGTGTGATGTGACCAATCACAAAGCAGAAGTATTATCATTCAAAAATACTCAGGAAAGTATAATTCAGCAAATTTACGCGAATACATGTAACTGAGCAATGTAACTGAGTACTGCCTACTTCTAATGATATAATACATGTTTTAAAGTCTTTTGTCTCTCTAAGAGTAGGAAACAGAGCCTGGTAGATGCACCTATCATTTATATGTATTATTTATTTATGTGCACATTATTTAAAGCTGTTTATCTTTGCATTAAGTGTGTTTTTGCTTTTTGATTGTAATAACACCACATATCACGATAGATGCAAAGAAACACAAATACAGTAAAAAGTAACAACTGTTCCTTATTTTTAAAAAAAGTAGTTGGTATTTTGTGAACTAATGTAAAGAGCAAAGTGTTGATTCCAGATGTCGCCTGGATGCCCCTGATCATCATGTAGAGTGGTTACGTTCTATCATTAGCGTACTTGATTTAACATAAAGAAGTATTATTAAGCCAGCCCAGGCTTTGGATGATGACTAGAAATAATACTGGGCTGTCATGAGGTAAGGTTTGGAAATCATTAACCAGAAACACTGACATACATGGACCTTCTTTGTATTAATATTATTTGTATTTGTTGTAATATTAGTACTTTCCTAAGCAGACACTTATTGCCCAGATAAGCATTTTAACTGTAATTTTCTGCACAGTACTCTGTGTGTGTGATATATGTGTGACACACGTCTAGCATATATACACTATATGGACAAAAGTATTGGGACACAGCCCTAGTGTTTTTTGTTTTGTTGTTTTTTAATGCAATATTTGATCATTTGGGACCAGACTGGGAAATGTCCTGCATATATACGCATTATTCTGTAAGCATGTACATGACAGAGAAACTGAACAACTTAATGTTGTGCAGCTGATATTCATGACACGTTTGAAAATAATTATTTGACAGCTCCTGGGATTTGAGGAATACCTTTGAGGGAGTCCAAGTGCTTCTTCTCTGTAGCACATTTTTGTCAGTGAATAAACTGCCTTACAGTCTCTGGGTCAGAACGACTGTTGATGCATGAAACGCTTATTGCATCAGTTCCCACATATGGGCTGGGAAGTGAAGAGTACAGTCACTAATACCTTATCTGGGGGTCTGTCTCCCATTGTTAGCTAAGCAAACAGTCATAGTATACTGAACATAGTATATGGTATAATATACATCAGAAGTGAAGAAGATTAAGCTAAGCCAGGTGTAAACATCTTATCAGCCATCTCATAAAAATATTCATCTTTAGACACACATTTAAACATCTTACAATTCAAGAGATTACTGTAAATGTGCTGGAAATATATAAACATGACAGTTTATGGTGCTTATTAAGGTAAACATACTCATAACACCTGGTTTTTAACACCATTATTCATATATTATTATTCGCTGTGTTATTTATATAGTATATTTAAAATAAAGCATTATCTCAATGCAGCTTTTCAGGTGATTTCTTTTTACCCACTTCAGCAGATAAAGATATGAAGAGATGAAAAACAGCTTGATTAATCTAATAGTGGCACATAATAAAATACCAGCCTGAACTTCACAGCAGCTGAAAACAGAAAATGACATTAACTAGTTGCTGAACTTGATATACTGTCTAATGCTGTAAAAGATTTGGAAATATTGTTACTTTATGTATCGTGCCTTGAGTCCTGTGCTGATTTTTCTAGGATAGTAGTTATGGCATCACTCCCATAATTAGAAATGTCATTGGTCTACTAAACAACCCACAGTTGTAAATCGTGAAATGTCATGATCCATTAGTCAATTAAACTCAATTAAATAAAGGATTGAGTACAATTTTTACATGATGATATTGCATATTTCAGTTCTTAATCTGTTCTCTTACAATAAGAAAAGGAGTCAAATAGACATAATTATTTGTGTTTTTTGTCACAGTGTTTATTTTTTTTTTTTATCATCACTTACAAGAAAAGTACCTCCATTTTTTTCTTCGCTTTTCTGCGTCATGTGAGCACTGGGCACTGCAGCTGCCTTTTACATACATACATATATACATCATCTAAACCGCTTATCCTTCTGGGTCACGGTGGGGTGCTGGAGCCTATCCCAGCTGTCATTGGGCGAAAGCTGCCTTTTACATTGTGTTAAATTTTTTTTGATGAATGGACCAATAGAGGTGCTCCAGATTTGCTTGAAATAAAATGTCTTTACATTAACTTACATTAAAACTAAAGAATATTTTTGCCTTCCTCTGTAAAGTTACTAGTTTGGAGATACTTGTTTTTCTTTGCACAGTGATGATGACAAGGTCTTTTTAAGCATTTTAGGCCCCCATGTTTTCCCATATTCTTTTTTTCAGTGAAGTATTTTGGAATATTTTGGATATACATAGTTATGCATGGTTTGTTATTGTTTAGTAAGTCAACTTTAATTATTTTTTGAAAATGAACAATTGATTAATTGTTAAATAATAGATGGCTCTATTACTAATATAACTGATAATGACAACTCTGATAATTAGACTGAAAATATCATACTGTTAGATACTGTTATTGAGTGCCGGCCTGAGCCTCGTCTCCAGAATAATTTCTGCCTCACCAAACCGACCTTGCCTGTTTACTCAGCTTTCATGTTATTGTTGAGTTTGCCATTGTGTGCTAGTCTAGGAGAAGTATAAATAGCCAGAGGTGGGCTCCATTCAGGGACATGGTGAAAACGCAATAGACGGTCCAAAAATAGCCTACACACCAGGCCTGCCATTATCAGACCATGGCTCAGTGTGATTGTGCTGAAGGAGAGTGCCTAAGCAGGGCTTTGGTGAAGGGCATTGTTGGGTGTGAGATTGTGCTTCTGGACATTTCTCTGATTTCATGTAGCATCACTGCAGCCTGCTCTGTAGAACTGCAGTACACCTGTAGTGCTGTATTTATTGTGCTCCAGAGTCGGGTTGGGTGATAGGACAAAAATATAACATAAAGATACGTCAAGATGTATGATATGCATCACGATATTTCTTTTTTCTGAGGTTTAATAAGTCCAAATACAAAAAAAAGAACCAGTAGACTGTCAAAAACTGAGTACAATGATATTCATTCAACATTGTACACACTGACGTGCCGATTCTTCAAACCTTTTAAAAAAGAAAATGAAGCTGATTGATATCTACGTAGCAGGGGAAGCTGTAAGAAGGTATCAAAGTGCTTCCAGTTCACAGTGTCCTTTGTCCTGGTTGTTAAGAAATGGCAGTTGAAGGAAACTGGAAGTCAAGGAAAGATCTGGAAGACAAAGAAAACTCTCAGAACTGCTAATAACCTGGCAATTAATTAAAGAAAAGAAAGGCAAAGCAAAACCCCCCATTATATAATGGCAAAGTCCAATTCAACATGGCAAATTATGCTCTCTTTGTAAAGAAACATGCAGTTAATTATAATGTGAGGTAACAGGAAGTAATTAATCACAGTATTAGCAAATATTGTCGCATGTGATTTTTTTTATTTTTTTTTCCATTTTATTTATTTATTTATTTTTTTGTTTGGACCGGTGAGCTTGCAGTCCATAGGGCACTGTCAAAATAAAGCATTTTACTCACTTATATTTATCAAGCTGTTAATTCTCCACAAGGGGCGCTATTAACAGTCAAATAGCTTTTGGTGTTTCATAACAGCACTGCTTCATCTTAGTGACTCAGTGTCCTTATTGAAATGTTTTTCATGCTTTGTTTGTTGTATTTGTATTTACTTGTTTGTTTGTTTGTTTGTTTATTTATTTTTAAATGTATGTATTATGATAAATCTTTGTCTGTTATTATTAGTCAGTTTAGTCCATTTTTGTTATTTGGGCTGTTAAAAAATAAACTCTGATTACTTAATAAATCATTAAAAAATAACCAGCACTTGATTGCTAAAATAATTGATGGTGACAGCACCAGTCCAGAGCTGGGGTTCTATCTGTTGCGTTACCAGGTCTATCAAGAACATAGTGGGCAGAAAGCCCTGTGAAGTGCAGCATTAAGAGAGACAAAAAGCCAGGGATAAATGAGGAGCTTGTTTAAGATGCCTCGTGGGAGGAGCGGAGAGAAAAGGCTTTTATCCCCGATGACGTTTGTGGGTTGAAATATTGCATTGCATTGCAATGAAGTAGAGCATTTTGCTTTTATTCTTGGCGCGTGGGAAGGCAACAGGAGCTGTGTCACCTATAATTACAAAGCCTGTCTGCAGGCTCACAGATACGACAGATCAGGATGAGCAGACTTTATTGCACCTCTGTTTTCTGCACATTAATTCGGTTTATGTATTTGGTGTATAGAAGCTGCTTGAGAACTGCTGCTTTGAGATCTTATCGCTCCTTAATTATGCGAAAGCAATCAACAAATCCCTTCCATTTACTCGTCAGCTCTGACCTTTAAAAGTAGTTTTTAGTGTTTATTCTGTACTTTCACTGTTCCTTTCTCTGACATTCTCCACTCTGCTTCAGTCTAAATAAGATTACAGTGCCATCTAGTGGACGCAGTAGTCATGTAATGCTGAAATATTAATGTTTATTTTAATATAACAGCTTATTATTGAGATTTTCTGCACTGTGAATAGATTGTTCTGTGTAATTCTCATAGCTTTTCTGAAAACTAGTGGTGAAAAAAATTAATAATACTAAAAAAATTAAAAAAACTAAAAAATACTAAAAAATGTAAGAAGTGCTGTAATGTTACAGACAGAATACTGAAGCGAGAGTAATCCTTTTAGTGAGTAGTCTGTTATAACTAATTTAATTAATTGGCTTTTTAGTATATATTTAAAAGAGCACTGTGTAAGATATTTATTAAAACTGAAAGAAGTATCATTACTGAGTTTGGAGGGAAAACCGTGCTATAATATGGTGTCTGTGCGCTGCTGTGTCTCGCTGTAAAGCCTGAAATAATCAGTTAAAAGTCAGAGGTATCGGATCAGATTTCGCAGGAGTTTTTTTGAGCATGTCTTTACTAGGGCTGGGCAATATGACTATGTATTGTTTTTCTGTTACATTTTGTCACGATACAATACAATATGCTTTTCTAAACATATCATGGGTTAACGTCACACACAAAAACTCAAAAAGGAGGTCCAACTCAATGTTTAGGTCAAAAATTCAAAATAAACATTATACTGATAAATATATGATGACAATAGTAGATAATTAACTTACATCCTCAGAAAGCACGCCCTTCACCAAGTTTTGACTGAGTTCTCTTTGAATATTCTTTTAATGTGCTTGCAGTCATCAGATTCATCTGCTCCGTGAAGAGGTCTGAAGCGCAGCCCCCATTACTAAATGTTCTTCCACCAGAGAAATCACCAAATCGTCCATAGTGCAGCCTTGAAATGTGAAAGGGACTGCTAAAACAGGTCACTGCAAGACACATTCTGAGACTACTAGATTTTTTTCCCTTCCTTCTTGATATTAGTATCAAATATTTAATATTGTGGTACAGATCTTTTAATTTACACATAAATGCAGAATTTCCCAGCACTGATCTTTTAATCTTTTCTGTGTAAAGAACTCAAGGCATTTTTCTTTTTTCTTGTTTTTTATTTTCATGTAAGTCATCCAGCAGAGTCCTTAACTAAATGTAGCTCCGTTCATCTAGATAAACAAAAGCACCCACTTGCACCAAGCTTTGATTATGGGGCACAGCAGTTGCAGATGAGGATCAGAAAGAGTGAGAATGGCGAGGGTCATTTTGAGCCTCAAATTCATTTTAGCCCTTAAACAATGTCATTGCTTTTGTTTTGCTGAACTATTGAAATGTTATTACATAGTTACATATTTAATTGTATAGAAATAAATGTAATGAATTACTTTCATATTCCATTTTCATTCTGTATTGACAGGTAAAAGTCTGCACTTTTTAGGAAACAGTATACGTTTTTTTTTTCATCAAATAACTATCAGGGGAAGTTGGTATAGTATCCCAAAGGGGTTGCTTGGGTGTTGCTAGGCTGTTGCTATGTTATCCCAGGTAGTTATGCAGTTAATCCCAATATTATTCATACCAATGGCAAGTTTTGTTTTTATTAAACCTGTGGGTTTCTACTGGCTGGAAATGACAGAACCGAGTGACAAGGACGATAGGATGTTGTATAAGAGATATAAATGAAAAAATTACCTATTTCTTTGTTTGTTTTTACATTTCTATGAAAAATGCCACGTCCAAAATTATTCATGCCTTGTCACAGTACTTGTTTACTCTTCACAGCAATCCAATGGTTCTTATTATTGTTAACAAACTTTTTCTATGTCTCCACTGGGATTTTGGACCACTCCTCTTTTGCGACAATCTCCAGGCTTCCATGGTGTTCTTGGGTTTGAATGCTTCTCTTTTCTTTCGCCAAACAAAAGCCACATCCCTGTGTACGAACAGCTCCATATTTTTCTTATCTGACCACAGAAATATGGGCAAAAGCATTCTTCTTTGTCCAGGTGAGCTTTTGCAAAGGCTAGCCTAGTTTTTCTGTGTCCGTCTTAGGAAATTGGAGTCCTCCTTGGTTGGCATCCATGGAGATCAGCCTTGTGATATTTTGATAGCCTTTGATATTTTTTTACAGTGCAAAGCTCCTTGTATTTTTTATTATACTTTGCACTGTGGCCACTGACACTTGAAAAAGCTTGGATATGGCTCTCTAGCCATTCTCTGTCCAGTTAGCAGCCACAGTGCACAAGCGGAAGTCCTCAAGCTCTTTGATTTTAGTCATGACTTGCAATTGACTAGTAATTGACTTGAGAACTGCTGCTGTTCTCAATTTATAGTTGAATAGAATACACTAGGGCTTGGTAGAAATTACCAGGACCATTTGGAATGGTATAGAAGCTTCATTAATCCATGAAACCGGTACAAAAAAGCATAAGTGAGTAATAAAACAAAGAACTGTGAGTTGTGAAATAAATATGATTTTTTTTTAAATATTATTTTTCCTACAGACATAAATCTGGTATGAGTAAGAAATAATTACTACTGAATTACACCATTTTTAATTGCTATCAGTGGTGATAACTGCAGTTTCTAAGGGTTAACTCTGTGCTGAATCCATCTTGAAAGACCCTTTGAACTGTTTGTATGTGACAGGTTTGCCTGTGTGTCCGGAGCTGACCAGAGACCACATCCCCAAAGCCCGGGACGTGGGACACTTCCTGTCTGTCACCGGGACGGTCATCCGCACCAGCGCGACCAAAGTGCTGGAGTACGAGAGGGACTACATGTGCAATAAGTGCAGGCATGTGTTCTCTGTGCAGGCTGACTTTGAGCAGTACTATAGTTTCTCTCCTCCCACTCGCTGCCCCAGCGGAGATGAGTGCTCCTCCTACAAATTCACCTGCCTGTCAGACAGCGATGCTGCACCAGCTGCCTGCAAAGACTACCAGGAGATCAAGATCCAAGAGCAGGTAAGGGTCTGTGAGGACACTGACTGAGTGGTTGTTCATAATTGTCCACATTCCTTTGATTATTGTTGTACATAATGAAAGTTCCTCAAATCTAAACACCACAATGCACTGAAAGCCTTGTATTAAGGAGATTCCATTGTAGGTCTTAAAGCAGTCATAACAGTGAACAAATATGAAGTGCAATAAACAAATGACTTTAGTGTATGTCACTAATGAAAACTAAATGTACCAAACTGGAAAACAGAACCTTCATTGTATTGTTCTGACATCTCGTCATCTATTTACTGACAATCAGCAGGGATTCTTTTATGAAGAGTTAAATACTGAATTCATGTCAGAAGCCTTGAAAAGCAGTCTACAAAACTACATTGCTAAGTGCAACTAAATGCAAAGTGCAGTACTGTGAGAAAGTCTTAGACTATCTGACAATGATAACTAAGGCTACTTATCTTGTAATTTGATGTCATTAAGTTCTCCTTAAATTTAAAGCTACCAACCAGTACCTATTTTGTCTAATCAATCTTTGATGTAATTAAATCAAGTGCTGCTGATTTGCTGCGGATTTGAACAAATCCATGCAATGGCTGGAGTTCAGGGAGAATTCAGGAACCAAATCTGAATTCTTCTCACCAGCATATTAAAATTTTTTATTACATTTTATTGTGTTTTTTGTATTTGCTTTTATTCTAATGTTATATAAGATTGGTACTAAAAATAACACACTTACTGCCAGGATAAATTGTTTTAAACAATTTTCTTAGCACAGTACTGTACACTATTGCATTATATCCTGAGTCCCCGTAGTGTGTGGGAACTGTGCCTCACTGAAAAACATGACCTGTCCAATTACAGACGTCTACCAAACTCCTGGCTGTAATCAATCTTGGAAGCTCCTGGGTTAAGTTGCCTGTCCTCAGATGTGCTCCAATTGGGTTTTGTGGTTTTGCTTTTTTGGTCTTCTGACAGATGTGGCTTTGTTTGCAGGCGCAGAGACTATCCGTGGGCAGTATTCCCCGCTCAATGCTGGTCATTTTAGAAGATGATCTGGTGGACAGCTGCAAATCAGGTAACCATACTGTGCATGTAGCTCTTAGGCAGTATGAAAACTATTTTCTGACTAAATTTAACCCACAGATGTCCATGTTATTCAGTAGTTTCTTTGAAAACACTGCTTGATTTCATTTTATTTGCCTTCAATTTAAAAAAAAAAAAAAGCTGCCTAGATTTTTTGGAGAAATATTTCAGATTGACCACAGCAGGGCTTATCTAGCAGAAGTTGCTATTGCTTAATATAACTTAATATTAATATTTTTGTTTAGTTCCTAGTGTTATCATTTTGTGCAATAGTCAAAACTGTACATAAAAGGCATGAATCGCATCTGTTAAGTATTGTGCCATAATGTTAATCCACAAAGTCAGTAGACTTTCAACATTAAACTAATAACATTCATTGGAGTTTCTACATACTCCAAAAAGTATGAGTGTCAGTTGCCCACCGACTGTACTGATCTTCACTATGTGTATGTATCCAGTGCTGAAATGTAGCTGCATGACTATATGTAAAAGCCCATCCGTCACTTAGCTTTGATTAGAATAAAAATAAGAATACGAGTCAAGATCAATAGTTTTTATGTTTGTATTACTCTTCATTTTAATTCAATTAAATTCAGTTCGTCTTTATTGTCATTATACATGTACAGGGTACAGTAACACGGGCCTACGTCTGTGGTGCATAAACATTGAGACAAGGACATGAGTGCACATGTACTATTATGATTTTACAGTATGTTTACAAAAAAATTCCAAGCACAAACAATAAATAGACAATACCATCAATAGACAAAAAACGCAATAAACTAGACACACAGAGCTGTAGTACTGATGCACAGAAGTGTGAATATGTGCAAAATGTCCAAAATATGTACGTTAATTTAGAGGTAGTGTTTCGGTAAACAGTGGTGTGACTGTTAGTCAAGTATTCAGTCTAAGTTTATATGAAGTCAGACAGCAGCTCAGAATAACATAAAAGTGCAGTGTGTAGTTCAAGTTGTGTTTGTTTTCATGTTCTGGTGGGTGCTGTTGGTGTGACCAGTTTAACAGCTCAAAGCTCAAAGGTAGAAACGATTGGTGGAACCTGGTGGTTCTGGCTCGAATGTTCTGATATCTCCTCCTAGATGGCAGCGAGGGGAACAGGAAGTGGCTGGGGTATGTGGGGTCTGAGGTGTTACTGCCGGCTTTCCTCAGACGTCTTTTATTGTAAATGTCCTGTATGGGTGGGAGCGCAGCTGCAGTGATGGACTGGGCAGTTTTACCACCGTTTTCAGACCTTCCATTCCACAGCAGTGGAGCTGCTGTACCAGACTGTGATGCAGCTGACTATCATCTGTTTTTGCTTTTGTCTGCACTGAGGGCGAGACTGCTGTCTGTCCACTCTGTGAGAAGTTACACCTCCTCTCTATAGGCTTCCTCATTGTTGTTAGTAATGAGGCCCATTACTGTTGTATCATCAGAGAACTTGATGATGGAGTTGTGCTTGGCAATGCAATTGTGGGTGTACAGGGTGTAGAGAATGGGTGATAAGACAGCCTTCTGGACAGCCTGAGCTGAGAGTGAGGGTGGCAGAAGTGTAACTGCCCGTCCTAATAGACTGAGGCCTGCTGGTGAGGAAATCCAGAATCCAGCTGCAGACTGTGTCTGCAGTGCTAGGGTCTTAAGCTTGGAGATCAGTCTAGTGGGGATAATTCTGTTAAATGCTGAGCTGCAAGTGATGAACAGCATTCTTACGTAGGTATTCTTGCCCTCCAGATGGTTCACTGCATTGCCAGTAATTGTATCTTCAGGGGATCTGTTTGTGCAATAGGCAAACTGATGTGGATCTAAAGTTCTTGGGAGGCGGTTCTTAGCATGAGTCAAGACTGGTCTTTCAGAGTACTTCATTATGATGGGTGTGCGGGCAGTGGGGCAATAGTCTCTGAGGTATGTCAAGTTGGGGTTCTTTGGTATGGATATGATGGTAGTGGTTTTGAAGCAGGTGGGAATAGTAGACTGTGCTAGGGAGAGGTTGAAGATGTCTGTCAAAGTGACAGACAGCTGGCTGGCACACGTTTTCAGGACCCATCCAGGGATGCCATTGTGTCTAGCGGCTTTGCATGTGTGCACTCTCGACAGAGCTCTCCTCATGTCTGTAGACAGTGTGAGTACCATTGCTTTTGCAGAAGGACCTGAGGCTTTACTGGTCAGCTGAGTCTGGTTGATCTCATAGCAGGCATAGAGTGAGTTGAGTTCAGCTGGTATTCTGCCTGGATTCTCTCTCGAACATCTGAGTTGTTGGAAAAGTGTGCTTGAATTTGCAAGCACACTTAGCTACTTCACACACTTTAATTGCAAAATCTCGAGGTGCTTTAATCTGGAATATATTCTACATGAAAAACAGCACAATTATACAATCGGAGAGAAAAGGCACCAGATAGGCTTAAGCTATCGTGTCAAATATGATTTTATTCTGGATTAAAAAAAAACAATAGCTGGTTACGCAAACCTGCTTGTTTTACATACATTTAAAATTGTTCACCTCTCTGCAATGTGTATGATCACTGGTTACTAGAGAGACTTTTTGTTTCTCTCTTATTGTTATTGTAATACTATTGTTCATTTAACAGTTTGTCACAGTTTGTGTGAGATTGCAGTACATTTTATCAAATTAGTGACCTTGCAGTAACTTTACAAACATACAAACATCCTGTTTTCCCAGGAGATGATATCACAGTGTATGGTGTTGTGTGGCAGCGCTGGAAGCCACTGTACCAAGACTCACGCTGTGAGGTGGAGATTGTGATGAAGGCAAATTACATTGAAATCAATAATGACCAATCCACAGCAGCAGTGGCACTAGAGGACTTCCAGAAAGAATTTGAGGAATTCTGGGAAAATCACAAGCATGACCCTATAGCTGGTAAGCAGTTTGTGACTTCTTACACTGAAGAAAATGAGAGCGTCTAGGGTTCTGTATTTTAAGGTTCATTTCACATGCAGCAGTGATGTACTGTCTTTCTTATACTCATCCATGATGACAGCTTGGAGAAGTTCATCTGGTATTTTCCAGACATTCTGTTGCTGGACTTTTTTTGTTTGTTTGTTTTGTTTTGTTCTGTTTTGTTTTTTTTCCAGTGACAGAATACTGACTTGGTGAAATTATTACAAACTGATGAAAAGTTTGATGAAAAACCTTTGCAAAGGTTCTAGGCATCTGAGAAAATTATATGCATCTGAGTATTAAGCATTTATTTGTTTAGAACACTAATATTAGAAAAAATACAAATAAAAAATGATTGTAAATTTGATGTGTGTTAGCTTGAACATTTCCAAAGCTCTCCTCAAGGTAGCCCAGTATATTTAACTAATTCATGCAATGGCTGGAGCGCAGCAACAAGTCATGAACCAAAACTGTGTTCTTCAAAACAGTATTTTTCTAACCAACATATTAATGACATCACTGAAGCTCTTGTGGCGTTTTACTTAACTTATGTTTTTTGTATTAATTATAGTATTATATAGTGCCAAGATAAATACTTCTAAACAGTTTTCATGGCTGCCTAACACTGTTTCCTAACAGCAACCAGCACAAGACAATGACAAAACCCAAACGCTTCCGTTGTAATCAGTACAGCTGTCTAAACCAGCTGCAAGCAGCAGAGTGTGATGCTGCATGATGTGATGCATCAATTTTTACAAACACCCCATTTCTCTTTCTAACTCGTTGCATTGCTTTGCTATTCCACCTCAAAATGAATGAGGACAAACTCATTCATGGACTGGAGAACAGGAGGGATCTCTATGACCACACAAACTGGTTATTTCCACATATGTGGATTTAATTGTGTCTCAGATGGCTTGAAAAAAAAAAAACAGTAGAATAATGATATATTGATAGATTGCATTTCAGTTGTTGTTTTTATTATAATTTATTATAACACTGATAACTGCACTGTATATCTGCATGAAAACATGAATTTATAAAAAATCTCTCCTTTTTTTAAAAAAACATTCTAAAGGCAGGAATCAGATCCTGATGAGTCTCTGCCCCCAAGTATTTGGAATGTATGTTGTGAAGTTGGCTGTTGCCATGGTTTTGGCAGGGGGAGTGCAGCGCATTGATGCCTCAGGAACAAAGGTGAGAGGTATGTGTTCTTACTCTCCCCCTCTGAATCACTCTGTGTATGGTGTATTTAGGCTGTTAAAGAGGGATTGTTTTCTGCAGGCGAGTCTCACCTCTTGCTGGTCGGTGACCCGGGCACAGGAAAATCTCAGTTTCTGAAATACGCAGCCAAGATCACCCCACGCTCAGTCCTCACCGCTGGGATTGGCTCCACTAATGCAGGTGCTTTAACACCTTCCCTTTTCACTACTTTACTGTGAAATGTACAATTAATATATGAAAAATTAATGCCATACAGTCCTTATAATTTCTAACGTACTTATCCATGCTTCAAATAAATAATTTTTTTTGTAGCTGCTAGCTGCTGAGAGTTTGTTTAAGCATTACACGGCACTGACAAAAATCTCATTCATACAAATGAGGAATTTGATAGGAAAAGGTAAAAACATGTCATGGTTGAACAATGTTATTGGCAAAAAGTCATATAATTTCACTCACTAGCCAGACAAATGTGACTTGTGTGTGTGCTGCTCGAGCCCTGCCTGAAATATCGCATGAGTTTGGTGAGAGTGAGATTTCTGTGTATGGAGCAGACACGCTGTGCAGACCCACACTGCTTACGTAGTAGTTTGAATGTGTTCAGAATGTGTGTACCTACAGTGGAGCTGCAGTGGGCCAACTATACAAACAAGCCTCCAGAAAGCGGTAAATTATTTGTAAAATCATAATGTATCATTTTACATTTAATAATTAAGTTATACATAATTTCTGGCAGTTTAAAGTGCAGACAGCTGCAGCTTGCTACTTTCGAAGATTCCACTGCTCTGCTTATGCTAAACGAGCTGTTTCCATTGAATCATGCAGCACAGAATACATCTGATACACTCAACACTTCCAACTACTGCTTATTATCGCATGAAATACATTTTTGGTTGAATACCAAAATCAAATAAACAGATTAACGTTCATATTCCCTTATTCCCTCATTTGCTTTATACAAAAGTGAAGCTTTTTCTGCATGATTGCTTAGAAGTTTTTAGTCTGTATGTAGGTTTTCTGAATTGCATCCATATACTGAAAGGTAATCCTGCATTACTAATAATCGGTATCAGCCCTGAAAACCCATATTGGTCAACCCCTACTAAGAATAGATGTTGTATTAGGGGATGGAGCTTGGATAGATTAACTCACCATTCAGCTCCATGGAAAAGGGAAGGGTATGTCTGGTTGACACTCTGCAGTATTGATTGATCACTGAATGCCTCGTTATTCTGTGTATGTGTGTGATCCCTAGGTCTGACTGTAGCTGCTGTGAAGGACTCTGGAGAGTGGCATCTGGAGGCAGGAGCTTTGGTTCTGTCTGACGGAGGCCTGTGCTGTATTGACGAGTTTAACAGCATCAAGGAGCGTGATCGCACCAGCATCCATGAAGCCATGGAGCAGCAGACCATTAGCGTGGCCAAGGCTGGGTTAGAAATACTACACTTTGTCTTGCACAGCTGAAGCATTATAAACATTAACCAGCAGTTCTTCCAATGAAAAAGATCTTTCGAAGCAAAACAATGTCTTTTTGTCCAAAATGATGCGTTTGTTAGGTGCAGTGTGCTCCAGGTGCTAAAAAGAGCTCCTAATCACCACAACTGTAGTTCTGGAAGTTGATAAATAGTTGTTTGGTGTAAAGTCTTGCATTGTAGAAACAAAAAACATCTTGTACATTTAGGCCATGATTTTGTGTTTGTTTTTAACATGAAAATAAAAGGAAAAAAGTTTAAAGTGCAGACGCACACTTGTTGATGTGAAATGGAAAACAAATGTAAATGTTATTTATTACATAACCATTTATGTATAGCATAGCAAAATTACTACTTTAGACAGTATACGGATAAGTTGTCTTTAAGGGTTGATATAAGCATAAAAATGACAATAAATCTGACTTATACTATCTCATTCAGCTGTCAGTAAAATATTTCTGTTTTTCTTACATGCATAACTGAACTGTTGGCTTCTAGCGCTGCCTTATAAAATTATACTGCCCTCATAAGTAAATCCTCTACACTGAATTATGAAAGGAAAACACTTTGACCAACACTGAGTAATTTTTGTCTCTCTCGCATGCAGAATGGTATGTAAACTGGACACAAGGACAACTATTCTGGCAGCCACCAACCCAAAGGGCCAGTATGACCCCAATGTCTCTGTCTCGGTGAATGTGGCTGTGGCTAGCCCCCTCCTCAGCCGCTTTGACCTGGTTCTTGTTCTGCTGGACACTAAGAACCCAGAGTGGGATAAAATCATATCTTCCTTTATCCTCCAGAATAAAGGTTTGTTTAAAACAGAGGAGTTAAAATTCTGTTCATTGGCATAATATACTGTGTCTGTGATGATATTTGGACAGCATCAGGGCTATTTCAGTCTTGTGCCCCATTCTTTTGTTAAAAGAGAAAAAAATGTATGTGTAATTACATGACATAGTGAGTAAACGGTAATAGGTTTATTTTCAGTTGTTTTTATCCCAATTTGCTCCACTTTGTTAGTTACTGTTGATTTTTGCCTAGTTTCTAGATCATTCATATCACAGAATAGCAACCAGTTGGGGATCTTAAGGGTTTATAAATGTTTCGCCTGCCAAGCACAAGTAGCCAAGCACTGCATCTTTTTGAGCTGCCCCTTATGTAATGCTTAGAGACGTGGGAATACGAATGGACGGAAGCAAAATGGGTGATGTATAATGTCAAAAACAAACATTTAGTCTAGCTTCATGCTGTAATTTTACAGTTTAACAGTACAGTTACAAATTAAGGCAAATCCTGAGGTCAGTACAATACAGAAACCTAATTTAAATACATTTAACTGACTTTTGCCCTTTAGTATGAGCAGTGTAAATGGCTAAAATTGGTCTGATAATGATCTATTTTTATGCTACATTAAGGAAATCCACAATGAAATACACACAATGGATTTTATTAAAGTTCTAAATTGAGAGAAACTGGACTAGACTATCTCTTACTTTCCCCTTTCATCATCTCTCTTCATCATCATTATCTCGCTCCCTCAGGTGTTCCAAGTCAGTCTTCATCATTATGGAGTATGGAGAAGATGAGGGCCTATTTTTGCCTGATAAAAAGGTTGCGGCCCCACATCACTCGTGAGGCTAACTCCATCCTGGCCCGCTACTACCAGCTGCAGAGACAGAGTGACAGCCGCAACGCCGCCCGCACAACCATCCGCATGCTGGAGAGTCTTGGCCGCCTCTCAGAGGGTCAGTCTGTCTGTCTGCCTGTTTGTCTCTCTCTCTGTGTCTCTCTCTCTGTCTCTCTGATGCATACAGTTTCTCTACTTCTGATTCCTCTAGACATTGATATACCATGTGGTTATATATACACAGTGGCCCTTATTCATCAAAAAAGAGCGCAGGTCTGACTGCTTTTAATGATGTATGAACTACTTTGTGTATGATTCATGAAACTTTCATATGGCAAGTAAATACGTGATTTGAGCAGAAATGATGAATCGGCTTTAGTTCGTAAAAATCAAGTGCCAGCCAACCAGCACCTCATTTACGTATAACTTACATGAAGCACAGCCTAATTCATACAGATGTTTCAGTAGCATACAGTTTCTCAGATGTCAATGGCTGCTTTGAGTTTGAGGTCAAGCAGTGAGTGCACTGCTCCACCTACTGACCAGACTTTATAGTGTTATTCTTAACTAAAATGTCATTGCATTTTAGTTAAGTTGCCATTTCACCAAAGCTATTTTTGGCAGCTTTATTTGGAGTTTGTTGTTTAAAGTCTGTTTTAGTGTATTAGTGGTCTGTGCACCTTCATAGCTCACTGTAAGGGTCACAGTACTATCCTTTCATATTTATTGTGCTAGCTAGGTCTACCTGAAAACATTCCTGCCTAAACCAAAGACATGATGCCCATTACGTCAAAACAAGAACTGCTGTGCCATTATACAAAGAGCCGGGAAGGTTTTGTAACGACAGGAATCCCACCAACACATTATTGCCACTAAAAATTACATTTAAAACACTATATTTTTATTACACGTATTATCTTATACAGCATTGTGATAATATACCTAGATTCCTCTGCTGTATTAGCGCTGCATTCATTTTCCATGTTGCATTTACACACACACACGCACACTTTCTAAGCCGCTTACTCTTCTGAGTCACGGGGGGAACTGGAGCCTGTCCCAGCGGTCATTGGGCAGAAGGCAGGAAACACACTGGACAGGTCACCATTCCATCACAGGACAGATGTTGCATTTAGTATATGAATAATAAGCAGAATGTTTACCTGGATAGCCAGTACAATGTTGATTAGTTTATGTAATACTCGGCTCCAGCTTTGTTCATTCTGTTAAAGTGATAGTTCAGCCAAAAATTACGTTACATTATTTCTACTTACCCCAAATGTAGTCGAACAGCCAAGGTATGTTAGGCGGTGTGGTGTGTGTGTGTGTGTGTGTGTGTGTGTGTGTGTGTGTGTGTGTGTGTGTTTGATAGATAAATATACACAAAAAATAGCACACTCTTTTCCTGTTACCTTTTCAGCCCATGCCAGGCTGATGTTCAGAGAGATGGTCACAGTTGAGGATGCTGTTGTGGCTGTGTCTGTTATGGAGTGCTCCATGCAGGTATGTCTTGTCACTTCTTAGTGAGAATCCTTTAGCAAATCTTTTGAAGCATAAAAACACTTGTTTTTGTATGTATGTTTTTGCCACAGGGGGGCGCACTACTCGGTAATGTGAACACACTGCACACCTCCTTCCCCGACAACCCAAAAGAGCAGTACAGAACTCAGTGTCAGATTGTGCTGGAGGGCCTGGGGCTGACCCATATCCTCAACAAAGAGCTGGAGAGGCTCTCAAGGTAAACCACACATAAAAGAAGTAGCTGTGATTATCAGTGAAGAAGCACTCATGTAATCATATTTAGACTGAATGAATGAATGAATGAATGAATGAATGAATTCCTTCCTTCCTTCCTTCCTTCCTTTCTTCCTTTCTTCCTTTCTTCCTTCCATCCTTCCATCCTTCCATCCTTCATTATTGATCCCGGGGGGAAATGTGTCATTATTGTAGCAGGCAAGGCATAATAAGGTTACAAGGACACATTAATATAAATAAAAACAAATAGAAAAAGTGTAGATATACAATAGTAAATAATGCGTCAATGACGGCTGAAGATTTTTAAATTGATAATCTGAGAAGTTCCACATTTGAAAATTATTTAGGACTGCAACTGTTGAAATTTGTAATTTCTGAATATTCTATTAAATATTATCTCAAATTGAATGATTGTTATTACTCAGATATTCTGTATGAGAGAAGCTCAGTTTATCAACGTTATTATTATTATTATTATGAATATTATGACCTATAATAATAACATTTTTAATATTGTAAAGTAGTGAAAAAACAACACTGATAAACAATTTCTGTCCTAGCAATCAGCACAGTAGCATAAAATGCATATGCTGCTGCTATATCGAGGGACCCTGTCCAATCTGGCAACCCTTAAAAAGAACAGTTGGCAGTGCACCACCAAGGTCATTTCAGTTATACTATGAATAATCTTAACGATGCTCTGTTTGGTAACATGTTATGATTTTAGAGGTTTCAAACGTAAAATCACACCAAACTATCTTATTTAAAATTTCCCTGAACTTTTCAGATATGATTTTTTTATTTCCCCTTCCAGGCTGCGCAGCAGTACGTACGATTCATCCGGAGTGGAGCAGCACAGTGATGTGCACGGGGAGAGTGCGGACAGTGAGGCGACAGCTGGATCCGACCCAGGCCTCAACTGGTTCCACAGCTTAAACAGCCCGACTGAAGCTAACGCCACTTTCCCCCAAGTGTCCCCCATCACTACTTCAACACAGAACACAGCAAAGCCACACAGGCCTACCGTGTTGCCTAGCAACAGCAGCTCTGCACATAGTGAGGGTTCTGCGTGGGTGAAGGAGGCTGCTGGAGCCGTGGAGGCAGTGGCTGATTCAGGCAGGGGAGTGGAGGGGGCTGAGAGAACCAGTTCTGTAGTGGAGAAAAGCTCAAAAAAACTGCGAGCCAAACGATTAAAAGGGATGAGCAGGGACCCCCTGCAAAGAGAAGAGAAGAACACTGAGGGTGGGAGGACAGACACTGGTGATGATTTGGAGCAGATGTTTTCTCCAGGCAGGTTTCCCTCCCACAGCACGCCCATGGCGGGCAAAAAACAGCCTTCCAAAGGAAAAGCTGCCTCACTGAGTGTCCCTGTGGTAGAACAACAAGCAGAGAGTGGGGACAACATGCGCAACCAACTGTCTAGCTTTACCTTCAGACCTAGAGAAAGAATGGTGCATGCAAATGACTCTGGCATTGCAAACAATGAAAATTTTACCAAAGTAAATGAAGGTGATGGCAGTAAAAGTGATGCCAGGCAACCTACAGAGCTGCAAAGGAAAGGAAAGGAGTGGGAGGAGAGTGAAAATCATATGCTTTATAAGCAGCCAGCAGAGGGCAGCAGTGCAAGCAAGAAGCTCCGTCAGCGAGTTGAGGCCGAGGTCAGAGAGCTTCCTTCTGAGGAGCTACACAAAGAAAGAGGGAGTGAAAATGTGGAGCATAAACGTCAGCAGCTTCTGCAGAAACTTTCCAGTGTGGCTTCAGGTGAGCCTAAATCTGCTTCTGATAAACCCCCTGTGGCTCTGCAAGGGACAAGACACCCAAAGACACTCAAAGTGGCTTCCGCCGCCCTGGCCAAGCTTTCCAGGTTCTCTTTTGTTTCTACTGAAGAAAAGACTGTAGAAAAGACCACCACAGCTCCAGGACAGCCGCAGCCCTTACCAGTTTCCAAGGACGATGTAATGGAAAAGGCTTCCAGCACAGTGGAAAGTGCTCAAACACGGACTGTGGAGGAGACAAGGGAGCAGAGAAATGCCAACCCACAGATGCTAATGAATCCAACCACAGAGAGTGGTGCAAAAACTAGCAGGCGTAAGCCAGAGTGGAGTGGTGGAGTTCAGGGAGATGGAGAGCAATCGGTTAACCCAAAAAAGAGGAAGTGTTTTGAATTGGGCACAGCAGGCCATACAGGCCTCCTGTCTGGCTTTTCATTCTTCAGCTCCTCCATCATAGACGATGAGGCGCTAGATGTGGACTGGGAGGAGGAGTCTAGTAAAAGACCGACTGCGTAATCAAAGAATAGAAATCTGAGAGATATTAATGTCTATTATAGATGCATATGTGCAGAAATTTCTGCAAAGCTTATTTGAAGATGCAAAAAAAATCTTTTATGTGGAACTCTCACTTCTGTAAACTGCTGAAGAAAAAAATAATCCAGTCATCTGCTGCTGCTGTTGTACTACAGCACTGCCAGGTTGTGAATCAGCAGTAAAAAATGCACTGTCTAACTGAGCTCAGTTTATTTCTGCTCTCCAGACAAGTAAAAAGGTCATGCTTGCGTGTCCATATACAGTGATGATGGAGTGGTTAAGTTTCCATCACAGTTCTCTTATTGCTGCGTATTACATGACCATTTGCTTCATCAGCTCAGGATAACACTGAGTCAGCAGTCATATTGTGCTTATGTGATTCTCTTTATCCATCATTGAAGTTGCAGTAGTAATTAGTTTTACATTCATGGTAGTTATGTGGGATAAAGCATGTTACTGGTGTGTACCTAGTTGTATAGGAACATATTAATATGTAAAGGAGCAGTTTAACAAAGCTGAATCCCAGTAAGGCTCAAACATAATCACTACTGGCAACAGTAACTATGCAAAGATGTGTCCCTGTTGTCCAGGAGCAGCTGCTGAAGCACAGTTAAACCCCTTGGAAGTGAGAGTATTTGCTAGACTCATGTGCCAAGTCAGATTTAAGTTTATTTTGTTGAGTACTTTGTAGTGTAAAGCATGCATGTTTTATACGTGTTATCAAGTTCCACTCCTGTCACCAGCTTGCACAAATTTAACCAAAACCAAAACCAAGCCAGGGGTGGGCAATATGGCAAAAATATATCATAATGGAAGATATTTTTACAACAATCAATATGTATTGCAGTGTTTCTTTTTTCTGAAGTTTGACGAATTGGAACAAAAAGACATTATAGTGCCACAATTAAAAAAAAACTGAGTACACTTATTTGTATTCAGTGTGCTATGCCACAATAAATCCAGTTAAACAGGCATAATTGCTCTCTTTTGTTATGAAACATGCAGTTGGTCAGTGTTCTACAAGCAGTGGATAACTGTGACAATTAGAGCTAGACCTTGAGTTCTGGCCATAAATATCAAAACATTTTTTTTTTTAATTCAAAAAACATTCACAGTAATGCTAATTTTTGCTAGTGCCCCATAGGATTTCTAATAATAATACCTTTAAATGTAAGATACTCCTGGCCACATTACATTATTTTGTTGCTTTTTTAAGTGAAAAGTAAACTCCAAATGGGACTCTAAAGTCCCATTGTAAATCAAATTGTGATTGGTCGATTCCTGTGTCACTTCCTTATTACATTGGTAATGTAACCTGTCAGGCCTTCTGTTCAGTTCCTGAAGGCCTAACCAATAGGAGAGCTTGCTTGGCTGAATCTGCCTAGATACTACAGAAAAAATAATCTGATTGGACAGTTGTCTGTTGGGCATTGCAACCAAAATTCAACAATGGAACAACAGTATTAATACAACCACTGAGTTTAAATACAACTTTCACAGTGATGCTATTAAATAAAAATAGGTATTTTGTGATTTTCCCCCTGGAATCCTGGAAGGCAGTAGGTCTTCTCTGACAGTCTTACAGGCCCTGTGGGTTCCCCTCTGTCTTTAACCACTCATGATATCCACAATATGCTGAGAAAATTATGTTGTGATGTAATTTATCATGATAGCCCACCCCTATACCTAGGCGAAACAGGTGTTTTGGAGCACTGTGCACTGGAGGTGGGAAACTGTGCTACTAGAATGTTCCCAGATTGGTGTAAAGAACTCCTGAGAGACTGAGAACTCCACCATGGTGGGCTGGGTGGGGCTGTTTCCATGGTGACTTCATTCCATTGGGAGGTTAGGGATGAATATGCTGCTGCAGGTTAGAACAGGATCATTGTATGCTGTTAGTATGCAAGTCAGGTAAAGGTTTTTGTCATCTCTTATTCATGTACAATTAGTTTTAATTTGGGTAAATAACTTAAATATACAATAACATACTATCCATAACTTATCGAAACCTCACAATTCCATTTGTATTATTGTTTTAACCCATTTGAATAGATGGATCAATAGAAATGGTTAAAAGGACAAAATATGTTCACATTAACATACATGAAGTATTTTTCCTTGTTGTGCAAAGTCACCATTTTAGATATACCAGGGTTTGTTACAATAGTGACTATATATTATCTTGTCAGATGGAAGGTTCTTTTAATAACTCAATTGTAATCATCCCTCTTAAAAGCTACCATTTGATGTCTCAGCTAGATTCACACATCTCAATATCTTTGGGCAGGTATTGATGTTTTTGATGGATGTGCTAATATGCAGACATATGAAACCTTCACTGTGTCCTCAGAGTGAATAACATGCTGGTTCCATTGATAACCTCCATTACCGAGTGAGGTCCTGTCTCCATTTTGAGTGGGTCAAAGTCTAGTCAATGTCAGACTCTGAGGTGAGTCCCACGTGTATTTTCTCAGTGTTCCTTACCGAGGAGAGCTGTGGTCAGGAGAAACGAGCAGTAAGATGAGGACTTAATGGATCCTAACTTCCTGTGGATGAAGCACTAGGGTCATTAATAATGAAGTGATATTGACTTTGTGTCTGTCTCAGTGTCACCAAGTTAGCATATGCATTCTCACACTGGCATTGCATCATTCCTCTAGAATTTGGGACCAATACACAGATTGATTTGTGGGTGTTTCACAGAGGCTGGCTTGTCTGTAACAATCAATCAATCACAGATTATTTGTATGATTATTTAAGTAATCTGAGTTGTAAAGCAAAGGTTAAATCTGATTAGCTGAGCTGAGTTCAAAGCCAGTGAAAAATACAGGCCTTATTCACAACAACCTAATTCTGTATTCAAGCACAAAGTCACTAAACGCCACAGTGCTGTGAAAGGACTGCTGCGCTGCTTGCATGGAGCACAGAGTTAAGAACCTTGTTTAATCTCAGGGGCTGATTACGTAATTTTTTTAAACAACTAGGCTAAAAGATAGCTAAACTGCTCCTACATAAATATTGTGTCTTGCTGCTGGCTGTGGATGTGTGGGAGGCGTGGCCATGTGAAGCACCATGGGTACCACCATGGCAGCAGTGAGAGAGACTTAAAGACTAAATGGTTGGTCATGGTAACATAAACCTGTGCCTATGTGGTGGCATTCTGTGCTGGACTGAGGGGCTGGTTGGTGGAGTTGGGGGGGGGGCTACCATCATGCAGAAATGAATGGCTGACCTGCCTGCTTCCTGGACATGTCAGCCAGCACTGGCGGTGGGTTTTCCCCTGCTGCATATAAATAAAAAAGCACTTGTTCAATGTGCTGTCTTCTTATTGTATGTCAACGCCACAGTGGTGTCAGATGTGGGATCGCCCCCATCAGCTTACAGGGGAATAGCAAACCCAGCAGCACAATGGCAGAGAAGACTGAGGACTGTGAGAAAGGAGCAGCATGGCGAAGACAGGCAGTGGAGGACAGTGGTCGAGACAATGTGACGAGGCTCAATGGTGGAGCCTGGCTAGAGGACAGCAGCCGGTCGCAAAAGCCTGCCTGCAAGGACACCTGGCTGGTAAGGCTGGTGCAAGAAAACAAATGTGTGGCACTGCTATCTTGCTAGTACAGCACAGAAAATCGCACATAGGTGCTCATGGAAATTAGCATTATTGATGCAGTGGTAATTCAGTGCACTAAACATCTTATAAGGTAAACATTTCTCCATTAAACACTGCTAAATAATACTGTGGCCATTATATGACAAAAACTAAACTTCATGAAATGCCTGCAGTGAAATGACTGAAAGTTCTTCCTCCTTTAGCAGTCCATTGTTGTTTGGCAACAATAGCCTAGGTGGGGAACTAATGCTGCATTCAAACATTTGAAAAACTGTAATTTCATGTCTCATGCAACCAACTGGCATACACCAGTATGCAACCAACAGCAGCATGAAGCGACGCAAACGTTGGCATAGTGACAGCTTTACCGGGAAAAATGGATAATTATCAGGCATCCATTGCTCCCCAGAAAATTAACATCCAGTTTATTTCACTCCTGTGGTCGATAGCAAAAGTTGGGAAAATTGAACTCTTGACGGAACGCCAACCGCTACTTTCTGTGGAAGTTGCTGCAGTCAGTGGCAGAATTTTCCATTGCAACTCTGTTGTAAACAATAGAATATCTGGTTTGCTGTAGTCTTGTCTACTGCCAACATCTGAACATAGCATGAGGACCAGAGTCCAGTACAGTGTGGTGATTTCCCAGCTCCAGCAATTAACCTGGTAGTTAACTGGTGAGGTGAGTCAGGTGTGCTTGACCAGAAAAATCACAAAACTGTGCAGGAATCAGGCCCTGCAGGACTGGAATTCGCCACCCTTGCTGTTAAGGAACTACCCTTCTTGATGAAAGAATTGCTTGTAGTTATTATAACTTAAATTATTTACTATTAAAATGTGTCTATTTTATCAGATATGTTGTTTGGTTAAGGAATTGAGCCACTTGTGCTGTGATTTTACTGCAGGTAAGAGCATTTTTGGACCCCCCTTAAGAACACCCCTTAATACCCCACATCATGATAAAATCATATGGGCTCTCGTGACTTACTGCAGACCATACATAGCCTTTCAAAGATTTAAAAAAGGATAAGGTTTGAAGCCTTAAAAAGACTGGCCAAAAAAAATGTCAATGTTAAAAATACAATTAAAAATTTACATATTAACTCTGCTATCTAAACATTATTGATTCATCAAGAATCGAAATTAATTGCTATTTTTGATTTATTTATTTATTTATTTATATTTGCTTAGTTCTGCCTATTAATGGTATCTGATCAGAGGCTGATACTAGCTGACTTGATTTTATTAGCTTTGTTACTTTGGTGCTGCTGGCGTGGAGCAGCAGCGCAGCAATAAGAAGCAGTGATAAAGATGGAGTCCCATTTCAGCAGTGATTTGATGAGGTTCTCAGTCAGATAATCAATGATGTTAATCAAACGTCTCATTTATTGTCTTTAACTGCTTTTTAACAGCACAGATTCATGGAAGCTTCACTTTCTCTGCAGCTTGTTGTGGCAGCTTCAACAGCCTGAATATGGGCTGGCTTATGTCAAAGGCACATGTTCGGAGGAGTAAAACGATCTTTGGCTTTGTGTTTTGTTCCAGTCAGTTACAGTTTAGGCTGGTGTGAAGATCTGGGGTTTTGCTGTGAAGCTTGA